AAACTAAAAAGGAGCAAGTCCATGTCGATCTTTTAAGTTGTCAGACAACACAAGTCTTCATTGAAGCACATTGGACAAATTTTTAAGTTCTTTAAAAATAACAAATAACACTTCTATATCTATAATTCTATATCCAGACAGTAGAGTACAAAATTCAACTACATCAATTTGTCGTATTTTTGAATGTGGTGCTGGAATATTTACAATATTATCAGAAGCGTCAGTCAGACAGTGAATCACAGTGTCATTATTAATTAAAATATTAACAATTGGAGTAGATTCTTTATTTACACTATCAACAACGACTTCTTCATAAAATAATGATTTTTTAACTGGAAAAGATCTATACTTTTTCATAACAATAATAGTTTGACGTTTTACTCTACAACTTTTTGGCATTCTTGTTAAATTAAATAGTTTGTTTTTGTCTCTTAATCTCGCTTACTTTTGCTTAGCTGAACAAGAAGTATAATAGAATAAAGCATCCTAACCCAAGTTAGGCATTTCACATAAGCTTTTTTTTTTTTTTTTTTTTTTTTTTCCAAATACGACAAAAAAATTACACTTTCGATATAACGAAACATCAACTTACCATTAAAAAACCTAAAATTTCTGCATTTTAGAATGATTTTTATGAAAAACAAACTACATAAATGAAATCTATGGTAATTTTTATGTCTAAAAAACGGTCATACTAAATTTTTGTTTTTTTGATGATTTTAGAGGGAGTTTCCCCCTTAAACGATTAATAATAAATTCCTAGGTGAGAATTGAATTAGTAAATGTCTAGATATGGACTGGTAGTATTTTTGCCGGATTTACGAAAAACGGTATTTTATATCTCTATATTCATAATATAGCAATTTATTCTTAAGTCCAGTAAAAATACTACAACAAAAAATAAAATCCTGGATAGATATAATAACTTCCTTGCCAAAAAAACGTTCTTTAGGAACGTAGAAAACCTATTGCTAAACAGGGAACCAAAAGAAAAAGTTCAACCAAATAGTAGAGATTGTATAAAACTTTGAATTTATACCTTGTATTGAGGTATTCAAAAAACGATTACTTTACGTAGATCTTACTTTTTGTTGTGATTACTACGCTGGAATATTTATACAACAAAGACTGTACTACGAGTTTAAACGATTTTCAGCTTCGTTCTCCCCACATTCTATTATAACTTTTTGGTTGTACCAAAATCTTATTCAAAGCTTGAGGTCTTATTCAATTCAGAATCGCGAGCCATTTTTGTGGAAAAGTTCTCCAATCATGGTTGCCGAAAATAATGTTTCACTTAATCAGTTTAAAATTAAATCAAAGTGGTGTTTATTACATACAGATGTTGATTTATCTTGATTTTATTAGAATAGATCAAGGAATAATATTATCTAAAACACTATATTAACTAAAAACAATGTAATTAGTTCAAGTCAGTGGTGGCCAAACCACTGCCCTCGGGCAAAAAAATGCCCGCAGAGACTTATTTAAATGCCCGTTAAACAATTTGAATATTTAAGAGACAACCATCTTGGTAATGTGGTACTTTTATCTACCTTAAAAATCAATCCAGATATCAAAAAACTAGTTTCAGACGGTCAAGTTCACCACTCTTAATAATCATATTGCTTTGATACAAATGATTATAATAGTTATTAGTCGCCTATATTTTTGTAAAAAATAAATATTTTTTTTCCACAAAATTGTTCTTTAACTTTTTTTTTGCCCGTACCCTTAAATGTCTGGCCACCCCTGGTTTAAGTTAATTTTAAACTTAATTACCCTGTAAGTTCAAAAACTAAATTAAATAATTACTTACATTATTCATTATCATTATATGAATATTTTTTTTTTTTGTTTGTTTGTTTTTTTTTGGTTTTATCCAATTTATTTATAGCATTACTTATAATTAAGACTGTCTTTTTTTTATTTTAATATTTTTGTAAACATCTTATTTCTTAGTTTATACTTTATACTTTTGGAAAAAAAATACATATGTGCACATATGTTTTTGAGGAAAATACAATACATATGTTACTATGTACATATCTTAATTCTAACTACAATGAAAAATTCTGCAAGCATCTTTTTTAATTCATGCAAACACATTAATGTTAGGGTAGAAATTTTTTCTTTACTATAGGTTGGACCTGTAAATACATAAGGTTGCATGACATAAAAGGTATACACAAATGTTGTTAAACACGTTATCAGTAAATTTATAGAAATTTTAAAGAGTTCTATTTTTTATGAGGGATCCCAGGAAAAAAAGTTTTATAGAATTTCAATTTTCACTTTTTTTTTGGCTATCTCAGGAAAAAAAGTTCTATAGAATTTTCTATAAACTTTTGAAACATATGGCTTATAGAAACTCTATAGAATTTCTATAGAATGGCTATTAATTTCTATAGAATTTGCTATAAAACTTTTTTTCTATAAAAAAAAAAAAGTAGAAAAAAAAAAATTTCTACAGAAATTTTTATAAAAGTTAACAGAAATTCTATAGAAATTCAATAGAATTTCTATAGGCCATATGTTTCAAAAGTTTATAGAAAATTCTATAGAACTTTTTTTCCTGAGATAGCCAAAAAAAAAGTTTACAAATTTCGTAATAATTTTATTTTTAAATTTATTTTTTATACAAATGAAAGTTTCCATACAGTGCACAGTTGATTGGCTTGATTATTACAATCACTTAAGAAAGCATTGTTTCCTCCTAAACTAAAATTGAGGTACTGATTTGGATCACCGCTGTTTTCTCTTCCCTTATTTTGCAAATCAGTTCCAGGTATCAGTTCCAGGAATGCAAATAAATCTCCAATATTGATAAAAACTTCTTGGATGATCTTTTGATGTATAGGGTTTTCTGTCCCCAGTACCAGCATTAAGATATGCATTAAGCGCTTTATTTTTTAGCAAGAACCATTCATTATATTTTGATGTCCTATCTGTTTTACAATGAGCGTTTTCGCTATCATAATAATTGCTCAAGTTCGCAACATCTTAAACGCGAGCGTTAGCGTCAAGAACTTTGTTTTCATTAACTTCAGACACTAGCTGAAACCAACCAATAACTTCAAACACATAGTTCACGGTTTGGATAGGTGGGGTAGGATCAGTTATTTCGTTGATAATTGAAACTTCTGAAAATTTAAACCATTTAAATTTAAATTTATAGAAATAATAATGAAAACAAAACAAGCAAAAAAGACAACAATAAAGCTAACATAAAAGCTAAAAAAAGAAACTATTCTTAAAAGGTTTATCTAAAATTTTAAAAAAGGTATATAAGATGTTGGCTAGACTTTTGACACGAGAGCCCCATTTAAATATTTACGTAAGTATTTAAATGGATCTCTTCCCAGTGGGATTATGATCGATTATGCAAATCTAAAAGACATTTTTTTTCGACATCGAAAAGACGTCTTTTTTTATCTTTATCTTGTCATAAAAAGACATAAAAAATACGTCTTTAAAACACCTTTTTTTAGTCGAATATGCAAATCTAAAAGACATCTTATTTCGACATCAAAAATGCGTCTTTTTTGTCTTTATCTTATCATTAAAAAACATAAAAATTGTGTCTTTAAGACGTCTTTGTTTATCAGTTATGCACTTCACAAAAAGTGTTTTTTTTCGAGGTCGGAACAACTTTTTTGCCGTGCTTATTAGTATACTATAGTATCCTACACTATAATATTCCTACTTTTCATATATGAAAAGCTGTTTTCATTAAATGAAAATGATAATAGCTCTTCAGACAAAGTATAACAAAAAGCTCTTTCCGATGTCGAGAAAAAAAAAACTCTTTTAGATGTCAATATAAAAGAGGAAGCACTTTCTACATCTTTTATA